GCATAACCTGACCGCGCGTCCAAGTCTAAAGGTGTATGTACACGCGTACGTCGCGCCGTTGTAAACAACAGCGTCCGTGGGAGCTGCGTTCGCGGCTGATTCACATTCCGCGCGTGCGAGGCCAGCCTCTAGGTCATCCAGAGCTAACGACCACCGTCAACGAACCAGATTTTACGGGTCCACGGCGATAAATAAATTCAAAATTCCGCTCGATCGCGACGAATTCGCATTCAGAAACGGAAGCTTAACCATTCGATTGTCGGCCGGTTGTCACGAGTCAAACATTATTGCATTAGCTATAATGTTTGACACTCGGGGTAACACAGGACGTTGTGAAATCTGTCTTCGTCGTGTTCAATCGTGTTCACTTCATTGTAAAAGAAATTAGTTTTATCGACATTTTTGTTGCTAATATTTTGGTGTTACAAAATGTATTTCAATCGTGACGGATCGTGACGGTGAAGAGCTTTCCAATAGTGATGTGGAAATTGATAATTTATCGAAAGACAGTTATAATAATAAACCTTCAAAATTGCAAAATCCGTTGTGTAACAGTACACGTAGGTGATTGCTATACAATTTATTTATCATACCAAAAAAAATTGCTAAAATATACTGTATGTATAAAATATAATATATATATACTAAGTTTAATATAATATATATTTATTTATTTATTTATATATAATAAATTTATTTATATCTATATAATGAATATATATATGTTTATTTATATATTAATAATATATCTTTATTTATGTATAATAAATTTATTTATATATATATAATGAATTTAAATAAAATTTAATATATGTAAATATATATATATTATATTTATATCAAATTTGGTAGTTATTTAATATAAATTAAATATTTAATTTATATTTAATATATTTTACATATTTAATATATATATTAAACTAAGTTTAATAAATATACATATTATATTAAACTTAGTATATATATATAATATTTTAAATGTATGTATTATATTTTATACATATAGTAATATAATATATATATATTTATTTATTTAAATATATAATTATATTACTATATGTATAAAATATAATATATACATTTAAAATATTATATATATGTATATATTATATATAATATATATTATATTTATATTTATATAATATATATAATAAATATAAATTAAATATTTAATTTATATTAAATAACTACCAAGTTTGATATAAATATAATATATATATTTACATATATTAAGTTTTATTTAAATTCATTCCGTATAAATGAAATATATTAATGTTCATTTGGACTGTTTCACTTTCATACTCAATTACGAAATAATAGCCAGTGAGACGTGAGACAGCTTCTGCGTAAAATTGCCGGTCAACAGTTGGCGTTAAAAGGGGCCAAAGGGTGAAAAGGGCGTCGTTTGTATGCCGTTCCCAGGGGCGGCCGCGTTTTCGAAGAACGATTAAAAGGAAGGCCCGGAGGATTTACTGCGTCGTTGTCGGTGCACGCGATATCAGAAAACGCGGCGCGGGTTGACCTCCGTAACGTTTACAACGTTACGATAAATTGCGTAAACGACGGGTCGCGTGCGCCGAAAGCGGCCCGCTTGCTGGAACCTTGTCGCGTCTCGTTCGACTCGAGATCGACCCTTCCGCCCGTTTATTTCGACCCCTCTTCTTTCGTCGATACATTTCTCTCCTAGATTCTATATCGCAATTACCACATACTTATCTCGTACGAGCTTATCATCTAATTTTACGCAATCCAATAAAAATAGTTGTTGCCATTTCACGTATTTATCATTATTTATAGGAGAGAAGTGTCTCGTTATCGATCGAGCAAAAAACGTGGACGTAAATCGCGAACACGCGAGTACGTGAGGTCGATCGATCGATCGATCAAGGCGATCATACATATTTGAGTCTAGCTCGATGAAAACGGGGGAGGAGGGGGAGATCCTAATTAATAAAAGTCGCGGCGTATATACGCGGCTGCTTTTACTCGCGACGTGGCAGCGAGCGAGCGTGTGCACGAGTCGCGAAAGTCGCGGACACCTGTTCGCCGCGATGTTGCACATTGGCTCCCGAGGTCGTAAACTACGCAGGATGGGAACGCGCCACTTATTCGCATTCCTCTCGCGGCGCTGTCCATGTTTATTACGAATGACGGTCGGAAGGACAGGTCGGAGCAACGTTTCTTTATCGCGCTCGCCGCCGATCGACCTTCCTGACGTCTCGACGGTTTCACTTGGAACGCTCCTTTAACGGACCCAGCTTTTGCGTTTGCAACTGCTGCGTTCGTACAATGTACGTTGCTTTCTTTAAACGTCATCATTTCGAGGATGAATCCAGCAAATAAACCGTCGTCGAAATTCTTATTTTTAACGAAGATTTTGAATCTCTTCGTTTCTCCTCATTTGCAATCACATTTTCGCAACTTGCTGTTGCGTGTGTTGTTTCGCTTCTTTCCCGCGAAATGAGCGAATAAATAAATGTTTGCGCGCAGCACAACGAGGAAACTAACGACAACGTATTTCAAAATGTAAATAAATGCATTCAAATTTCGCGCGTGTCTTCCCCCTTGTGTCTCGCTGCCGTCTCTTTTTTCCTCGAACGCGTGGTAGTATTCGTATTGTGTGCGTATTTTGCTCGAGGACGTGTCAAGGTCACGGAGTACAATATTTTTCCAGCACCGCCGCAACGGCTCGTCGTCCGCTGCAACGTCATAAATAGTAGAAGAACGAGTTTAGCCATAGATCGCGTGCGCGTCCTTCGTGCACGATCCTTTCTACGCGTTCGCCTTGTTCTAATGATCCAATAAACTTCGGAATATCGTTTATTTACAAACAGCTTACGTAAGAATTGTTTGCATACAGAAATAGCGACTCCGACGCTCTCGAGATCCCGCGAATCGATATCGTCGTTACCACACGAGCTTTCTCCCCCGAGTACCTGGCTGCGACGAGGAAAATCTATTCTCGTCGTTGATAAGTTACAAACCCACGAGCGTCGATCTTTGCTCGTCCGGAAGTTGTCGAAGGAACGTCGATTGTCACGTGGGTTTCCTATTCGCACGTTTGACGACAGTGAATTGTATTCTAGTCTTGGAATTGTGACATTTCATATTTCTTATCGACGAGACTACTTCACTCAACGGCAGAGATTTTGACCTCATGGCCGGGTCGATAAAAACTTTTGAGATTCATGGTTAATTGTAAACTGAGATTCTGCGAGATTCTAACGCTTGGCGAGGCCTGGTTTGTTTTGTACGTACTGGCCAGTTTATCCTAGTCAATCACATTTGTCTGATGTTGGCAACGCCAACCGTTCCAGACGTTTCTAGAACGTTGAAGGTGTCTTGGATAATATTGAAAAACAGACTGCGCGGATGCTTCAGAGTCCTTGATCTAGTAAAATGAGTCAAAAGAACGCTGAGAGAAACAGGGACCAGGTGTGTCCAACTCGCGATCCTATTTAACGCGTCCCAAAATTGGGATAACCGAATGAGAATTTTTGTTATTTGAATAATTTTAACCATGAATGTTCATAATGTCTCTTATATTTTTTGAGCAGATTTTTTTTCATATGAAGCGTACAAAAAATTAAATAACAAAAATTTCAGACGAGCATCTTATGAATACTCTTCGTATTGCCGCTACCTGTATGAAACATGATGAATTGATAAACTAGTATCTAACATAACAAGCTCAGTGCTCTAAAAATTCTCATATTTTTTTAATTAATATAAATATATTTTTCTAATCAATATTGTTTTAATATCCTCATCTAATAATATAACATAGCTTATATCAAACTAATAAAACATTTGTAAACTACGTGAAGCCCTCGACAAATTTTCGTTGGCCAATGAGTCCCAGAAGATCTAATATCTTGGACACTTATTTAACTTGGAGAATATTTAACATTCGTATTTTGCAAAATGTTTTCCTCCAAAAAGCATGTGAACGTCTTCGGGAAAGTTTCGATGCTGCCTCCGAACGAGTTTAAGAATTGTTGGTTCAACAGGTCTTGGAGGACAACTCTGCAACGACGCTTCTCAAGCGTTGGGCGTCGGTTGCGCAAAAAATTGTAACGTGGCGTCGTAACGCGAGCGTCGCCTAGTAAAAAGGAAAGAAAAAAAAAAAAAAAAGAAAGAAAGGAGAGAGAAAAAGGGACGGCGAAGAACAGGGCGACACTTGACGCTTTTATTATCGCGTTACCACTATGTAGACGACGCAATACGGCCACGGGGATGAGCACGCGCCATCACCGTGAGATAAACCGTAATTGCGCCAATATAAATGCATGTCATTGTTAGCATATGATACGCGTTACCGTGGTAGTAAATCGCGCGATATCTAACGCCTGGCCGCATCGGAAAAACGCCTAATCTAGCGAGCGTGCGCGAGCACGAGCGCGTGTCGCCAGCGTGTAAACTGGATGCATACACCTGGATCCGTACACCTGTTCTCGCCGCGTTTGGAAAAACTGATATCTCGCCGATATGGAAACGTCGCGAATTTTTAGAGATTATTTTTATATATAAATTCATATAAATATATATATAAATATTATATATATTAAATTTATTTAAAAAAAAACTAGATATCAATAAATACGACAAACATTTAATTTCTAAATATATATTTATTTTTTTTTGTTTAACAAAAATAACAATATATTTATATATGTTTAGATCATTTATTTTCAAGATAATTAAATTATTAAAATAAATTAATTAATCTTGATACAAAAGGTACAGATTGTACTTTACTTATAATTTTTTAAAAAATTCATTCTCATTACACAAGACGGTGGAAATTTTTCGAATCGTCTTTCGTTTCTCTTTCCAATTTCGATTTTTGGGGTGAACGAAATTGGGTCATTATTGCAAAGAATGTATTGGGAGTACCCAATTTTTTCAAATTTAACAAACATTGCCATCTAGTGGCAATAATTTCACTTATTATAACATAACCTATACTCTATTTAAATATATTGACATTTAGTGCTCGTTGTGCAAATTATATTATAGATTAAAATTGTATTGACTCCTAAATAAAATTTTGTACAGTATCAAAAAAACAACAACATTACTTATGAGTATCTTCGATATAATCTCATGCTTTTCTTTTGCTGCTTCAATTGTATCATCATTTTTTCTACTTCACCCGTATCGGAATTTTCATTTTCAGCTGACATGGCGCAATTGTCATCAATATTTGCATTACGTTGTTCTCTTTTTCGTAATGTGCTTCCGCATGTTGAACAAGTTAACGTTCAGCTCTTTCATTTTGTTTTGAACTCGTTATCAAATTATAACTTACGAATCAAGGAACAGCCCTTGTAAAAGAGATGTCACTATCAAAAAGCATCTTTCGTCTAGATCTCACGGCATTAACACAAATTCTTGTTTGAACTTTTCCAGTCTGCAATATGCAATTACACAAGTCCGATTTCAGTTTCACTGGAACATGATTTTATCTAATATGTTTCTTTGTTCTATATTATACAGTTACCCATAAGTCGTATCTTTCAATTTTAACAAACATTAATTGCCATCTAGTGACACGATAATTAAAAGAAAAAAACATAATTCAAATGAAATAAAATTTACAGTATGAACAAAAACGACATTACTTACGAGTATAGCCCTGTGTCAGGCGAAATGAAACGAGGCAGAGCTTCTGCGTCGTGACACGCGGAAGGGATCACGATCGCGCGGCGTGCACGCTATCGCCGATACGTCGCGAGACAGGCTGAAATGTCACGACCAATGGGAATAACAATGGCAACAACAACAGCGAAGGCAAGTTACCAAGTGTGACGCGGCCGGTCGAAAGTCCGGATTCCCCGATCCGTCGTCGGCCTGGTTTCCGGCGATGGGCAAAAGTCGGCCGAGCAACTGCGGAATTACTGTTTCCGCGAAAAGTGCCCGGATGGAATCGGCGCCGATTATCGGCCGCCAATATTTGACTTTCGTACCGCCGGCTTCCCGGAATTTCCTTCTCTCGCGCTAAGCCAAACATCGTTTATCGTTAATCCACTTTGGCAATCTCTTCAAGAGCCTGCGAGCGCTCTGTCCGCGCTTTTCGTGCGAACGAAACGAGAAACGTACGATCGCATATTTCGAAGTTCGATGGCGAAACGAGCAGTAGGTGAATTCGAGGGATTCAACGGTAAAACTCGGGTCCCTGTTTCACGTTCGTGCGTATTACGTATTAGGAGCGGCACGTTTCAGAGAAAATATCAGCGACTTCTCACGCTTCTTCTCTCGCCAGCTAATGACACGTACGCTTCGGGCTACTATCCGCGTGCGCGATACGTGACAGCTTGACGTATCAGCGAAAACGTGCAGAAATCTTTCGGGCGTTCGTTAAAGCGTTCGCGCAAACTCGCTTCCACCGTCACTCGCCAACACTCGCTGGTCAACTTGACGTGACTTGCTGATAATTGCATCGACAATCCCCAACGTTATTCGTTATTATTCTATACTCTAATTCTTGCAGCTGCTAAAGAACAAGGCAAATATTTTTCACGTGCAAACTTGACACGTTCGCAGAGGAAAATTTTAAGGAAAAATCATTCACCGGCGTGTCGATTTATACAGAGTGAAAAATGGATAAACGTCACCGGTCGAATGACCGATTACGAAATAAAGATTTTTTTTTATAAGAGCCGATTATTGTCAGTTTAAAATCGCAATATTTTCACAGTTTCAAGTATATTTAAGTATAACCAAATACACAGGCGAAACAGATAACAAATTTATTATTTCTCGATAATTTTAATCCAGTGAGTTCGGAAAGAAAGCGGCGAATTATTGCGTACGGCGTTGGCCACTCGTTATGGTCCGCAATCGGTTGCCAGCGCGAGTGGTTTTCAGCAAGCGGGAAAAAACTTTTAGACAACGAAGGAAAAACTTTTTTTCTCGTCAAAAGCTAAACGAACGGAAAATTTCGCAGAATTTCAAGTCGGATCTTTGAACCTGGGTTTGTTGGGCACGTCTAGCGTTAATCGCCCACTCGGAGGCCAAATCGAATGGGAGAAAATTGCCTGTTTTCTTTCGGTCAGTTTCCGAACGATCCTCCACGATATATATTATTACCGGGGCGTTATTTATTCCCGGGCGCAAAGTTCGGACGAATGGAGTTTGCTTTTTCGCGCGGCGCGGAGGGCAGAGGATGGAATTTTATTCGCGGCGAGAAATCGACGCGGCGACAGTTACGACATTGGCTTAAAAAGACACATAAATCACGCGGAAAGCGTCGCAAGAAAGAAAGATAACCGCGGCGCGGGAACTTGTTACGAGCATTGTTCTCGCGGGACGACGACGACGACGAGGGAAAACAACGACGGCTGACCGCGAAAAAACTGGCTGCGAAAATTGGCGGGAGAGGGGAGAGAAAAATTTCGCGGTTCGACCCGTTTATAGCGTTGGCTCTCTGCGAAGACGACCTCGAGTGTCCTCTCTTTCTTCCGTTTCACCGAAAACCTTTCTAACCCGTGAACGGTTATCTTTCGACGCGTACCTACTCTCTGAGAAACCGATTAACGACGTTTACGCGGAAACGCGCGATAATCGTCCGGTATTTGCACACAGTTTAATGCACCACCGTGAAAAATTACCGGTCACTCGAGTTTCTCCGTATCGTGTCACCGATCGATATAAATCACCAGGCGAAGACAAATTCCAAGTGGAAGTTGTAATCCGTAACGATTGTTCGGCGAGTGGCTGCTGCGCAGCCAAGACCTCTCTCTATCGACAATTAGAAAGCGAAAACCGCGAATCCGGCATGGTAATTTCGCCGGGCACGCGATGCAAACACACACTTTCCATCCGTGAAACTCGGGCGGCGTTTAAATCGTTTCCGCAAACGGGAAACAGAAATTGACATTGCCCTGAACACCGGGCATCGCCGTTCAGCATGCTCGTTCGTCGACCTTCGCCGGACACCCAAATAAAACGCAAACGCATTTTACGAGCAAGCCCGGCGAAAGGGAGTGCAAAGAGGCGCGATCGATTTCCAAAAGCGACGCAAATTGTTCTTCGAATCCGGCGCACGCCGCCACCGAACATTATCTCTGGCTAGGCGATATTTAACCGTGGAATTCATTCCGATCTATAAGCGGCCCGTGACGGCCAGCCTCCCACGCCCGTTACGCATCTCCGCGATTCCTATTCTCGTCCAGAGCCATTGATTCATCCGTGTCACGAGCGCGAATTACTTAAACAAACAGCTGCCGGCGAACCAACACAACACACAGTTCTCGGAAGAGCTGCGATGCTGCCGACCAAACACTGGAGAACACGCCGGTTCCCTGGAACAGCGCATCCCGCAAGTCGATGTGATTACGATCGATCGAGTTCGATCGTTTCAACTTCGTTGACGATCAAGTCTCGGACTCTTCGAGCGTCCAATTTTCGTTCGAATCGGCTGTTTTCTTTTTTTTTTTTTTTTTTCTTTTATTGTGTCGATTTACGCGTCCAGCGTGGCGTTGGAATTCGAGATCGGGTCGCCGCGTAGCTCGAGATTGTTCGTCACATGGTACGGAGCGTGACAACGAGCGCGGCTCTAATCGTTTAATTGTGTTGATCGTTGCGTCAGACGGTAAGAGAACGGAGTAGCACGCCACGTCGGTCAGAGTCCAGGATGCTGCGCGAGCTATCGAAGCGTGCGAGAGCACACGCCGCCACCGGCTACCGGGAATCGTTGCGCGAAAGAATGTCCACGAGGGAGGAGCCTCGCGTTCCCAGCCGGGAATGTCACGTTTCTACCGGGAATATTCGCTGTTTGCTCAGATGTTTCTAGGTATTACGAAGACCATCGAGAATGAGCGAAAACATGGTCGAACGTTCACAAACATTCATTTTTTCCTTCCTTTTGTTTATATATATATAAAATGTCGTCACACGGAGTCGCGCGTGACATCTCGGCAAACAGCGATTGCTCGATGGACGAAAGATTTGCTAAACAATCGAAACTCGATTTTAGTTTAGTCAAAAGCGGGAAATTCAAAGCGCAAGATAGGATCTCCAAACACGAAAGAAACTAATCGATTTCTCGATACCTGTGCGGCTGTCGTCGACGATCGGGGAAGGGTGAGGGAAAAACAGGAAAAAAGCGGTATCGACTGACGAACGCCAGGGCAAATAGGCGAGAACCATCGACGTCCTCTCCTTGTTCCCGGAAGCTTATCTGCCTAACGGCGATTGGTCGCCTCGCGAACGTGCGTAACGTACGAAACAAGTTTGCACCTTTTGCTCGCACGGTTCTTCCCGACTTGACCGAGAATTCTAGGTAATCGATCTGCCGCGAACTGCCGCGTGTCACAAAGTACGATTATCGGCTTCTCGCGTTCGAGGAATTAACTGTGGAAAAAGAAAAAAAATGCGAATCTCCTTTTTTCTTTTTTTTTTTTTCAATCTCTTAGCCACTGAACGCTAAGACTAATTTCTTGGTCGGAGAGAGCTATTACTTTGTTACAATTTTCCAAATTTTCTACGAAACGAAACCATAACCTCTTGGCTGTGGTGTCAAAGCGTGTGTCTACATTGTGTCGCTGTATTAAATCATAAGGAAATAACACTAGTTTTTTTTTTAATCAATAATTTTATTGACATTAATTGATAGTAATCGACATTAATAGCAAGGAAATGATGTAAGAAGGACTAGTCGAGTCTAGCCTCAAAATGTCTAAAATTTACAAGTATGCCTCATCTTTCTCGAAAAATTTAATTCAAGTTGTAGTTACAAGTGTAAATCAACAAATTGTAATTACTTTCCTCGTCATTCGAAGCTAAGATTTATCTGCGTATTTTCTCATTTGTTTCAATTTGATTTGTTCAATGTCTGTTGCAACGTAATTATATAATTAGCGTAAAGCACCGCCGGATATAAATTTCATTGTTACACCGTTTTGCACAACTGCGTCAGGCGTAACGCGGTGTCGTAAGAAAAAGTATAGTTTCGTGAAAAATCTTTTTCCTTTTTTTAAATCTTTTAACTACTGAACGCCACTAGTTCCTCAGTCGAAGAGAGCTCTGTAAACTGTTACGTTGTTTCCAAACTCTTTGCAAGACAAACTTTGATTTACTCGTTCTTTCAGTTTCGAAATTTTAATTTGTTCAAAGTTTATCCCAACGTAATTACGTGATTAGCGTAAAGCACAGCCGGATATAAATTTTCAGGCCTTCGTCGTAGCACAGCTTCGCGAAAAATCTCTTCGCCATGGCTAAGAGGTTAAGTTCCTTATGCGTGCAGTCAAAGAAATTAGAACGACGTACTGAATTAGAAGCACAGATGCATATATAAAGTTCACCGTATTGCAATTGCAAATTGCGAGGTTCTCGCTGGCGATCACGGTTTTCCTATTAAAGAACTGGTTCGTCTGGATGGATCCTGTATTTTTGGCCGATTCCATTGACTCGCGGCGGTTTAGTCATGCGACTTGGTACGGTGCCCAGTGACTGTTTGCGCAATAACGTGTCAGCGGAACGTGAAATGTCAGAGTGCCTCCTCGCGAGAAGGATGCACGCCTCGAATTCGCCTCCGATGAAATTCCATCGCGGTGAATATTGATCGCGGGGCGATCCTCGCTGGAATTCTTCCACGTTCCCGCGGGATTCTTCTCCGCCGTGTTTTAAACGGCGAGGAATCCAATCGACGCGGCGCCGAGGGTAAGCCGCGGCCGTGTTTACCGACTCGAAATCCATCGTCGTGTTTAACCTTTCGCGGATTCTGCTTCTTCTCGTTTCCTAAATATAGCTCCTAAACCGCGTTGGCGGATTCGCGAGAAATAGAAATGCAATTTTACGCACGATGCGTACATCGATGATGCATCTGGGAATTCGTGAAACGAATCGTTCTCGGAAGAATTATCATCGCTGTTGAAATACCACGAGTTTGCGCTTCTGGGAAGAATACAATCGCGGCCACGATTGAATTTACATTTTCGTTCGTAAAGAAAAAAAAAGAAAAAAAAAAAAAAAACATTTGGAGCGT